GTGCGAACTCCTCTTTCAGCCTCACCATTAGCTTGTGGGTATCTTGGAGAGCTGGTTGTATGGACGAATCCATACTCTTCAGCAAGCTTTCTGAAGTTCTCGTTGGCGAACTGTGGACCATTGTCTGAAACCACAAGGTCTGGAATCCCATGGACTGCAAAGATCTCCTTCAGCGAAGAAATCACTGCCATTGTTGACTGACCTTGGAGTTGTTTGACCTCAATCCACCTCGAGTAGTAGTCAACTACTATCAGGAACGATTTCCCTTTGAGTTCGAACAGGTCCATTCCAAGACGCTCCCATGGCCTTGAAGGAAAGGATGAGCTCATCAAAGGCTCGCGGACCTCTTGGCGATGGATAGCACAGGTCAAGCAGCTTGAAATCATTTCCTCCAATGATTTTGATAGACCTGGCCACCACACTGAATCTCTGGCTCTGGCTCTGCATTTGGTAATTCCCAGATGTCCTTGATGTAGCCTCTCAAGGATATCAAGTCGCAGAGCTCTCGGAATGACTATTCTCTCGTCGTAGATAAGCAAGTCCTCTACCACACTCAGGTGTCCTCTCTGCTCATAGTAGTGTTTGAGGATCGGGTTATGTGGCATGTAGTCTGGCCATCCTTGAACGCAGTAGTCTCTGATTTTTGCACATACTTCATCTGCTTTTTGTGCATTTCTGATTTCCTCAAATCTCTGCATTGTCACTGGGAGGTTGATGGCTGATGTTGATGCATATGATTCAACCTCATCTACGAAGTTGACATCATCCATTCCTGGCCTCTCTACTGGCGCTCGTGACAAGGCGTCAGCGGATGTCTGCTGTTTTCCTGGAACATACAATGTCTCTGCATCAAATCTCATCATTCTCATTCTGAAGCGTTGGAGTCGTGGAGGCATTTTCACAAGTTCTTTCGAGTTTAGAAGTGTGACCAATGGCTTGTGGTCAGTTTCCACCTCGAAATGAAGACCAAGTACATACTCGGAGAACCTCTCGCACGCCCAAGTAGCTGCCAGTGCCTCTTTTTCAATCACTGCATACCTCTGCTCAGTCTCGGTAAGCGATCGAGATGCATAGCACACTGGTCTACGATTTCCATCAGTCTGCACTTGATACAGGATTGCACCCATTCCAGTCCCGGATGCATCTGCTGCAATGACTGTTGGCAGTTCTGGATCATAATGAGCTAAGACTGCTGTCGAGACCATCATCTCTTTGATCTGTGTGAAAGATCTCTGCTGCGCTTCTCCCCAACACCACACATTGTCTTTCTTCAGGAGTTGACGAAGGGGCTCGTTGATCTCAGCTAATCCTGGGAGAAACTTTCCCACCTGGTTCACCATTCCCATGAACCTCTGTAGCTCTTTCACGCTTCGAGGAACTGGAAAATCTCGAATAGCTCTTGTTTTGCTCGGATCGACCTTGACACCAGTGTCGTCGATGAAGTGCCCTAAGAACTTCACACTCTGTTTGGAGAATTCACACTTTCCCTGATTTAGTGTGATACCTGCTTCCTGCAGACGTTGTAGAACAGCTCGTACTCTGATGTCATGTTCTGTTTGTGTTGCACCATGGACTAGCACATCATCCATGTGACAAATCACGCCGTCAAGTCCTTCGAGGATAGTGGACATCGCTCTCTGGAAGACTTCTGGCGCTGACGTTATCCCGAACGGCAATCGGTTGAAGCAAAATCTCCCAAATGGAGTGACAAAGGTTGTCAGTAGCTTTGACTCATCCTCCAATGGAATTTGCCAAAACCCGCTGTTGGCGTCCAGTTTTGTGAAGATTGTGCTCTTTCCCAGTTTTGCTAGACTTTCATCGACTGAAGACATCGGATGAATCTCCCGTTCAACTGCCTTGTTGAGAGATGTAAGGTCTACACAAATTCTCACCGAACCACTGGGCTTCAACACTGGAACCATCCCCGAACACCACTTTGTCGGCTCAGTCACTTTTGAGATCACATTTTGCTCCAACATGGACTCTAGTTCTTTCTTCACCTTCGGTAGAAGCGGATGAGGAACTTTCCTGGCTGTATACAGGCACATCGGCTTGGCATCTGAAGTTAACGTGATGTGGTATGCTGTCTTCAGTTTCCCCAAACCAGTGAAAAGTTGAGGGAACTCAGCCTTGAAGTTTGCAGTTTCATCATCACAAGAATCAACTTCCTCCACTCTGCGGACTAGATTCAAGGTTCTACACGCTTTCCTACTCAGCAATGAAGACTCCTGATCTTTGACCACATAGAGAGTCTCCTTGATCTGTTTATCTCTATGCCTGAGAGTTGATGTCATTTGTCCTATTACAGTCAGGACTGTACTTCCTGGACCACGTAACCTCTTGGTTGTTGGTCTCATGATGTGTTTATTCAGCCATGGAGTGGAATCAGACAACACAGTAACGGCTGCTCCTGTGTCTAACTTGAAGTGTGTTTCATTCCCATCTACGAGGATCGATGAACTCCAGTACGTCTGATCGTTCTCGCTGACTTCACCAAGGAAGGGGACATCAATGTCATCGAAATCATCTACCTCGCTGACTCGAGCTTTCCATTTTAGCTTTGCTGCCTCTTGTTTTCCCTGTTCTGGTTGTTTGGCTTGACACACAGACTGGAAGTGGCCCATCTTTCCACATTGATGGCACTTTGCATCTTTTGCGGGACAGCTGGCACGTGCATGATTCTGCCTTCCACACCACTTACAGTTACCCTGCGGAGTTTGAGATGTTTTCTTCGAGTACGTTCCCTTGCTCTTAGGCCTTACGTAGTTTACGGCCGAGTTAGGGCTCTCACTCTCTGCACCTCCCCTCACAACAGACTTGTTTTGTTTCCGGGCTTCTGACTGTCTACTCAATTGAACTGCTTTTGAGAGAGTTAGGTCTTCTCTAGACTGTAGTTGATCAGATAGGGAGTCATCAAGCACCCCAACTACAATTCTGTCTCTTATCAAGCCCTCCTTAAGTCTATCGTAGTCACAGTCCTCTGCTAGCCTGTACAAATCATTGATAAATGTGTCCACACTTTCTCCCGGGCGTTGTGTTCGTTTGTTGAATTTTGCCCTTTCAACAATAATGTTTTTCCGTACATTGAAATACTTCTTCAATGTTGCGATCACGTCATCATACTTTGCTGTCTCCTCTTTCACATTGAGAGACACGATAATATCATCGGCACATTCACCCATAGCATAGAGTAGCGTACTAACCTGCTCACTGTCTGGCTTGGATGCGAGGCCCGATGCGACGCGATATCTCTCGAACCGCCGTGACCATTTTGGCCATTGTTCGGCTTGATTTAAGCCTGCAACTTTATCAAAGCTTTCTGGCAATGGTAGACGAGAACTTTCCATGGTTCTTCACTTATACCGCTGCCACCATGTAGTATTATTCAGACGACAAAAGGAGAATGGACACAAAAGGGTAGTACGATTTGGTTATGTTTTACTTTCACTTCGTGTCGTCGTTTCAACGTTGCAAATATATAGTCTTGTATAAAGACGTTATTAGATATTCCCACACCTATGATACACAGTTACCCCCCCCCCCCCCCAGCCTCTCTCATAGTCTATTATGGTCACCCTTTCCGAGACACCAATGTCAAAAACAATAGCCATCATAAAAATATCAAAATACCATAGGTGTTCTCTATCCAATGACATTAAATATTCTATCTATAAATTTAGGTTTACTACGCAGCTCTTTCATGAAAAAGCAATGATTGGACCGTGGTGAGACCTTGACAATCTGAAAGAAATCTGCACCAAATCAGATAAAATTTCCACTGAGTAGCTTTAAGCCCCAATAGCTGCACTGCTTATAACTACTTGCGCCCTCTATTATAGCAAACAAGCTAATCGCTGACCATTGTTCCCCTATAATCCCCCTTTTCTTATGTTAATTAAAAGTTGATTTGATGAGATAATCACACATCAGTGACCATGCAGGGTGGTCTAATCTCTCTTAGCCAAACTAGTGCAGTGGGGCTTCAAAGCATGGTAATGAAGAGGAGATGGCGCTATGCCAGTATCCGGTAAACACAATGTTGAACTATAGTACCACTGTAGTACGCTTGATTTGATTTGATTTCAACTCGGCACGGTATAGCGACAGATTAAGAAGGATGTGCAACGGCGACGAAGGAGGTGTAGATGGCGATGATGAGGAGGAGGAGGAGGAGGAGGAGGAGGATGATGATGATGATGATGATGATGATGATGATAATGAAAGTGATGATGATGGTAATGATGATGATGATTATGATGATGATGATGATGGTAATGATGATGATGATAAATTGATGAAGATGATGATAATAACCTTTTTTCTTTTCTTTTCTTCTCAATCTCTTATGGTTTGTTGTTTATATAATGTCTTTGTTTTCTACAAAGTATTCTATTTGTTTGTAAATCTTTGTATGTACAGGGCTCTTTCGTAAACCAGGCATTTGGCACTGAAAAGACTACCCTGTTTTTAAATAAAACTGAATAAATAAATAAATAAATAATGATGATGGTGGCAATGATGATGATGATTATGATGATGATGATGATGATGATGACAGAGTGAGAGATGAAACAACGGTAAGAGCTAGAGAAAGAGGAAGATAGTGAGAGAGTGAGAGAGAAAGAGGGAGGGACGGTGAGAGTGAGAGAGAGAGAGAGAGAGAGAGAGAGATCAAGGGCGTTGCAAATTCTAAAGTTTTGAGTTTCTATTGCTCAAGGCGGTTTTGTGAAGAAGAAGAAGAAGAAGAAGAAGAAGAAGAAGAAGAAGAAGAAGAAGAAGAAGAAGAAGAAGAAGAAGAAGAAGAAGAAGAAGAAGAAGAAGAAGAAAAAGAAAAAGAAGAAGAAGAAGAAGAAGACTGAGAAGAAGAAGAAGAAGAAAAAGAAGAAGAAGAAGAAGAAAAATGAAATGGAGGAGAAGAAAAAAGAATAATTGGAAACTATATTTGTCTCGTTACTGTAACGCCTAAACTTTGTACCAATCACATCACGTGCATGACAACATTGGTTTCATCCAAAATTAGACTCGTACGGTCATCCAAGATGGCAGCCCCCGATGCATACGGAATTCCCCGACTACCGGGTTTCGTATTCACAGAAAAACTCGGTAGTGGCACTTATGCTACAGTCTACAAGGCATACAGAAAGGTATGTTTCATCTGTTACTATTAATGAAATAGTCAATTCAAAATCATGTTATTTAATAAGCAGGAAACCGCATTTCCCTTATTAACGTTGATTTGTTTACATTGTTTCTTGTTCCGTGCATTGTCCCACATAAGCAAATTTGTGTTAGTCATTTGGATTCGATTAATTGAAGCTTGAAGCGACTGCGAATGAGCACACATAGTTTGCACTGGAATGTTGTGTGGAACTATTTTTTGGTCTGCCAACATTCTCGTTAATGAGCCACTGCTCATTTAATTAGTTTTTTAAATTGTGTGATGGTGGGGCTATAACTTGTTAGTAGGCCTAGGTCTATAACCATTAACTGCGCACCTAACTCAACTGCTGTTAGTCAGTAAGTTAGTGTTCAAACAGTGTTTCATTGAAATCGACAACAATTTTTCTGTTGCATTCTGTAATGTCTGATCTCATCTTAATTAGCCTTAATTGGCACCCAGGCCCAGCGTGAATAGTGCCGTAAAATAAACCTAATGCTTTTGTAATCGCCTACTCCAAGAGTCCTACATGTACATCCGAGGACTTTGCAAACTACCTTCAGAGTTTGATAGTGGACTCTTCTTCTACTCATACATGTACAAAGTATTTGATATTGGTCTAGAGTTTAATAAAAAATGTGATACGGAAGTGATACCAATTTGCTTGCCATATAGATTTTCCTGATGACAATGAGCTAACAAGTAACATGCGATTTACACTAGAGTTTGTTATGCTGGTTCTGCTGGAAACGCGAATAACCATTTGGATACTTATTTTACGATGATGCTGATGGTGATTAGTTAATTGTAGTATAAGTTGCATGCACAGAGTTCACTGAATTTAGGGCACTCCTAAATGAATGAAATGAATCACACACGACTTTAGAGGCGAGTTGGCTCAGTCGGTAAAGTGCTGCCTGTCGAACCAAAGATCCCGGGTTCGACTCCCACCCAGGCAGATGACTGAAGTCTGCGTTGTGTGTTAACGTGCCACTTCCCTTGTTCATAGACCCAGGTTATGTCAAGTGGAAAACACTCCATCCCTCGGATAGGACGTTAAATGGAGGTCCCGTGTACAGGAGAGTCACCACCCTTGCACGTTAAGAACCCATTGCACTATTCGTATAAGAGTAGGGGGAAACCCCGGTGTAATGGTCCACCTGCACAACCCGATCAGGCCGAATATACGGCATCTGCAAGAATCTTCAGTATTGAAGGAGGCAGATTATCTTTAAGAAGAAAAAGAAGACCAATCATTTGATTAGGACCAAGGAGTGAATTTTTGAATATTTATTTTTTTAAAAGATGATGAAACTCCTCCCTATTTCTGGAATAGCTGGCTGAGAAACAAGAATTCATTTTTTTACTGAGCCATATAATTGTCATGTTCTCTTTACTTTTTTTTTAACCCTTAGAGCCAACAAAGAGAAGTGGTAGCAATCAAATGTGTCTCCAAGAAGAGCCTCAACAAACTCTCCACAGAAAACCTCCTTCAGGAAATTGAGATTCTCAAGAAGATCAAACATGAATACATTGTGGAACTCAAAGACTTCCAGGTAACTCAACACTTCAATGATTATTTGCAAGGTTCAATAGTCAATAGTGTAATCTCCTTTGGACTTCATGCTCTACACAAACTTCTTTATCATTGACCTTCACCTGTAGCCACGCATGCAATCATTACTATAAGTAAAATTTTGCGAGACAACTTTTTTTTTGTATTTGTATTCTTCTTGTTACAAGCTGGTATCAGACACACATCTGTCTTTGCAACATGTGAACCCCCTTTGAATTTCAAATAGAAAGACATCCAATCTCTTTTTTCCTTTATGAAATATAAGAATTCTGTAGGTTAAATTGCTTACAATGCTGTGAGCATTTCATTTCTCACAAAGGCTGTGTTCTCCATACAAACTTTTTCTACTGTTCAAGAACAACTGCACAGTTGTGTATTAGATTTTAAGGATAATATAATCTTTTTTAGCTTATTATACATTTTGTATTTCACTAAGACTTGAATGAAACTGATACATGTGGATGATAACATCTGTGATTTTTCTCTTTTTCTCATGACATTTTCCAGCTAAAGTGACAAATCAAGGTTGGAGAGCCGTAAGGGCGTCATCTCACACAAGATGGAGTTCCTTGATGACTCCAGGGGGCTGTTTCACAAAGATCCCAAGTCGAACTTAACTCTATGTTGTACTTTAAAATTATGGAGAGCCATTGTAGCCTAAAAATAAAATATATTAACAAGTGAAAATTCAAGTATATTTGACTTTTTATAAATTCCACATCAATAACATGAAATCTCTTTGGTGATAGAAAATATGAATGATTTGAATCAATATTTTATGCATTTTAAATTAAATTTTACAAAATATATATTCATAGATGCTAATGGCTTTCCATAATTGTTAAGTCCAACTTAGAGATAAGTTCAACTTAGGATCTTTGTGAAAACCCCCCAGGAAACCTTACGAGCATCTATTTATTGATGATGTGGGTTAATAGATTCCAGATATATGTGAACAATGACCACTCCATTTCTTCTGTTTTCTTTTATTCCAGTGGGACCAACATTACATCTATCTCATAATGGAGTTCTGCAGTGGAGGGGATCTATCTCAGACCATCCACAAAAGAATAGCTCTTCCCGAGGCAACTGTCAAAACATTTCTCAGACAGCTAGGTACTTCTCTCATTTTCATAGCTTGAACTGAAGATGACAGGACTCTCCCTTTCAGCGTTTAATAGACAAGACGCAATATACAACCTATATGTATACATGTCAAAATATATGATGCTGCAAGGGTAACAGTTCTAATGATTACTGATGTTTTAAACAGTATTGACTGTGATGTGATGCGGTTTATGATTATCAATCAGCAGTGTACTTTGTCCTACTACAAAGATATGTTAAGATCTGGCGCTGCTCAGTGACTGCCGAGCTCACAATCAATTGGGCAAAAAGAATTTCCATTTTCGGTTTAATAAAATTTGGAGTGGACTTTAAATGATTATTATTATTATTATTATTATTATTATTATTATTAAAGAAAATATTCTGATATTCCTATGGAATTGATATTGCTAATGCTGTTCTTCAACTCAAGAGCAACATGTCTATAGCAATGTACAAGACTTCTTTAAATGGAAAGAACCATAAATTATGTGTTGAATTAAATGTTGACTCATAACAAAGTCATATTCATTGCGGGATGTGGGTATAGTAAAAATGCTGATGGATTACAAATTCAGTGTTGTTAATTCAGAATGAACAGTTTAATGGATTAGTCATTGTTTATTGTTGATCATTCATGTCACTGTGTTTAAGGAAGAAATGCTAAATTTTGAACAAATATGTGATCTTATCTTTAAGTCTTGTTTTTGTCTCTGCAGCCAGCGCACTCATGTTCCTCAATTCCAGAAACATTACACACATGGATCTCAAGCCTCAGAACCTCCTGCTTTCAAATTCATACAACCCAGTACTTAAGGTGGCAGGTAATCATATTTCTATCTATTATATTTATTCCTTTGAAATACTATGAGCTTTTTAAACAACAAAAAAGTCTAAACGGAAATTGACTTTTTCTTAAAACCATCTATCTTAGAAATTTCACAAGAAAAAGTACAGATTATTGTTTTTTTTTAAATTGCACTCCACATGGTTTTATTTTGTTGATATGTTGAATAGAAGAACCTTTTGGAGTTAGGTGGATGAGGATAGTCAAAATATTAGATCAATGACCTGCACATGAGATGTATGCCATACTAATTCAGATTGAATTCATCAAGTTGTTATTATTATCTCTGTCCACGTTTCATTCAGTCTTCTTCTTCATCAATTTAATGTTTAATCCATTACAATAAATTGAAAAAGGGTTAAGCTGTGTGGCAAAACATTAAATCTAGATTCAAATCAAAATGAGCTACGACTTTGTATTTTTTTCATGCAGATTTTGGATTTGCTCAGCACATCACAGAGGATATTCAAGCAGACATGCTTCGTGGATCACCTCTCTATATGGCCCCTGAGATCATCACAGATAGGATCTACAACGCTAAGGCTGATCTCTGGTCAGTAGGGGTCATCATGTTTGGTAAGATCATCACAGATAGGATCTACAATGCTAAGGCTGACCTCTGGTCAGCAGGGGTCATCATGTTTGGTAAGATCATCACAGAAAGGATCTACAATGCTAAGGTCGACCTCTGGTCAGTAGGGGTCATCATGTTTGGTAAGATCATCACAGATAGGATCTACAACGCTAAGGCTGACCTCTGGTCAGTAGGGGTCATCATGTTTGGTAAGATCATCACAGATAGGATCTACAACGCTAAGGCTGATCTCTGGTCAGTAGGGGTCATCATGTTTGGTAAGATCATCACAGATAGGATCTACAACGCTAAGGCTGACCTCTGGTCAGTAGGGGTCATCATGTTTGGTAAGATCATCACAGATGGGATCTACAATGCTAAGGCTGACCTCTGGTCAGTAGGGGTCATCATGTTTGGTAAGATTAGCTGCATGAAAGGTTGGCAATCCAGTAAAACCCCACTGTACTACTTTAAGCTACTTGCTCCCTCTACATAGAAAACAATGCCTAAGCAGTGCCCGTTGGTCCCCCATGATCCTCTTTTACTTGTGTTAATTGAGAGCTGATTTGATGAGGTGACCATGCAGGGAGGTCTAGTCTCTCCTCGCCAAACTAGTGCAGATAGGCTTTAAAGGATCATTTCTGCACAGCTAGTATGAAAAAGGAAAAAGTAAACTATTGTATTTGTGACAATCAGATCATCAACTTAAACAATTCTGAACAAGATACAAATTTTCTGGTACAACTATCATGTAGTAAAATGAAGTTATCCAATGCTGTGGATGAAGGGTTATGAATATTATGAAGAGCGTCGTATTTGGAGCAGAAATTTTGTTTATAAAAATCAACCATGTCACATATTTGGATCAAGTATTCTAAATCCTATTGCAAAGTGCTTTTCTAATTGGTCCTACTGCAAATACGATGTTCGACAGTAGATGGCGACCTTCCTCCCGCACTGTGCGAGTCGACACATGCACAGATACGATACAGGGGAAGACGATAAGACAAAGTTTAGTCTGGCTTCCATAGAGAATGTACAGCAGTGTCAACCCTTTTCTTATTTTACTGAACTATCATTCAGGTTTTATGAAATCCCGTGATGATTTGATGAGATCTACGTAGTCACCTTCAAAATATGTTACTTATTTTTTATCGGTTCCAAATCTATAATTTCTGTCGAACTTTCCAGTTCTTGACCCATTGAATTTGTATGGGAACCGGCAATGCCTTTGCCAAATAAACCCATGGCTTTCCACCTGTCACCTCTTCTTTGTCATGATTCAGAATGTCTTTTTGGCGGTCCACCCTTAGCTTCAAGCTCCTACGCACAGTTAGCTGAAAAGATTAGAAGCCCCAAACCTATTGAGGTTAGTGTGATAGCATTTATTTACCTTTATGCCTGCAAATACAGATTGTAGCTATGATATGCTGTAAGACTAATTCGCCAGCATCCCATTGAAACACTTGGTAATTGTAATAGACGCATTTCAATGAGATGTCGGCGAACTTGTACTTTATGACGGTTTCGTGAAATGATGCTAGGGAGACGTAAAATATATGCTTACCGTATATGTATGGGGTTAACATTACAATCCTAACATGATTTTTTTTTTTTTTTTTTTTTTTTTTGGGGGGGGGGGGGGGGGAAATACAATGAGGTATTGAATTTGCCCCTGACTTGATTTCATGGACGTCTTTGCAGTCAAATTGTAAGTCTTTTTTATGGGTAATTCCATAAATTAGGGACTCACTTTGTGACAATTCTGGTGTCCCACTTACATAAGGAACTCACACGTATTTGTGGCTCTGAGTGAAGACTTAAATAGCGGAGTGAGATTGTTAAGTGATTCTAGGTATGAGGATGCAATATTATGCTTAGAAATCACTATACAATCTCACTCCACTATTTAAGTCTTTACTCAGAGCCACAAATATGTGTGGGTTCCTTATGTAAGTGGGACACCAAAACTGTCACAAAGTGGGTCCCTAATTTATGGAATTACCCTTATACAAGAATGTCAATGATACTGTAAACAATTTAACTGTTTTTCTTATTAAAAAAAAAAATTATGCAAAGTAAATCGAGGAAAATTTAAGGGGCTTCTTCTTCTCTGTGAGTACAGTCCACCAACTCTCTTACTTGTTGCACTAATTCATAGTTTACCTTATACTTATATGTTGTTTTTCTTGCGGTTTGCATCAGATCCCCACCTTTGTTGAGTCGTCTGTTGCCTGTCGAGACCTTCTCTCAAGGCTTCTTAAGAGAGATCCAGGCGAGAGGATAGAGTTTGAAGATTTCTTCCATCACCCTTTCATCGATCTAGAACATATTCCATGCTCAGAATCATTGGATAAAGCTGTGAGTAGTAATACCAAGCGCTTAGAGACTTTGGGGGAAAGCACTTTATAAGCACCGTTTTTATTATTATTATCATTATCTATAGCTCATATACTTTTGCTGACATTTAGAGGTAGAATCAATAAATCCTTTGAGTTTATTTACTCTCCAAGCAGTGTTTCTTGAGAATTATCCTTAAAAAACTTGGATACTTTTATCACCATCTTCTACATGTATGACTAGAAAAAAGCCACTTATAATTCTATTTATGGTTTTATAATGTAATACTTAGTATGTACCGGACTGTACATCTCACTACTTAAACATTTCCAAGAGATTATTCGAGAGAGAAGTTTATCAGAGGCATCGTAGTCTAGTGTATATATCATCGGACTGTGGGTCTCACGGTTTGGAGTATGAGTCCCACCGCAGCACTAATGTCCTTTGCGAAGACATTAATTTACATTTGCCACTCTCCACCAAGTGTAAATAGGTATCCAATAGGAAGAAATTCCTGTAATGCTTGAGCACCTTTCCATGGTAGCTCGGCAAAAGCAGAGTTCATAATATGATTACAGGGCTGTCATGGAGAACAGTTTTAATACTTATGGAGCTACCCTGGGTAAACAAGGCGCATATATATTATTATTCATTCCTGAATACGTTTCATCTTTCAATGTTTCATTTTAGAGAACAACTGTAATGGAAGCTGTGAAGTCTGACCAGAAAGGAGAATGGAAAGAAGCAATCAGGCTTTATCTTAAAGCCATGGAATACTTCATCCCAGCCATCCAATGTAAGTTTCTCATATAGTAGGCCGGTGCATATGAAAACAGCAAATGTCATGTCTTTTTCTGTACCAGCAAGTCATTTAAATGGCCATTCATCTTCTTGATAAGTATTTGAAGAAAAAAGATGAGTGAAAAGCATCCAAAGATGAAACTCTAAGATTAAAAGCTATGGAGAATTGTGACCGCAAGAGGAGCTTGAAGGATGATTAAAACTTGTGAATGATTGTAAATTTTATGGCTCCTTGTTCCATACGACTTGCTTAACTACTTTTTTTATTTTTTGTATTGTTTGTTTGTTTTTTCTCCATTTTAGATGAGCGAGATTCCACTAAGAAAGAAGCTCTGAAAGTGCGAGGCATGGAGTACATGAGGAGAGCAGAGGAGCTGAAAGGATTATTAAAACCCAAGAAAACACCTCTAAATAACTCAGAATCTGTCCAGGATGATAGTGAGCAAGCAAGCAGATCCTCCACCAACTCGGGACTCGTGCATGATATTCATCTCTTAGGTAAAAGGAGAATTTAGGAGAATGAACTTATATAATATGCAAATATACATTGACTTGAGAGGTTCTGATTAAAACTATGGGCAAGAGTTGACTCTAATAGTACTGTTCGAGTCACCAAGGCCCATAGTTTTAACCAGTACCTTGAAAAGAAGGTAGGGTGTATTTGTTTTATATCCTCCATCAAAAATGTATCATCAAGCAGAATAACTCACCTTTATATTGGAGGTTTCCAACAGTAGTGCAGCGCAGTCAATTAGACTGTGGCTCAGCATAGATTGCGTCGCGTGAGCGCTGTGAAACCATGGGACTTGCCCGCTGGAGGCATTTCAAATCCTGTATGCTAGCTGAATTGTCAACTACCAAAACTCAAATAGTTCTCCTAAATAGTACTTTTTCAGAGCAACCTTAAAATGATTGAAATATTTCTGGTCCCGTGAAGAGCTCTCAACCAATCAAACACCAATAAATGTTTGATACAGGATATACACATATACCATCCACTCTTTGCCATTTAAATAGAAGGCATTTTCTGTTGTAACTATTTGGTCAATCTTACTAATGCTGCCTGTAAAGATATGTCAGCAGTAAGAACTGAAAAGAAACATGGCAAAAGGAAAAAAAATACTTAAGAATTGAGTTGAGAGTGATCAGTAAATCAAACTGTTTAACTGCAGAAGAGAAACGACTTGTCAAGATGATGTATACTGAATTGTAGTATGTCTGCTACTTTCTTACAAATATTTAATATTTTATCTGAAAAAAATTGACCAGTATTATCATGGCAGTTAATTTCATTCCTCGAAGCTAAATAAACTTCCTTGTTAGTTTGCATTTGTTATTTTTTTTCCCATGGTATCCTCATTACTTTCTCTCCAGATAAAATGGCTAATGGAAACCCAGATATGAAAGTTGCAGTGAAGCTGGCCAAAGATGCATCAAGAGAGGTATAAAGCAAACACTGTAATATTGTTAGGTGATCATTCATCAATAATATATCCGTACTATATCAATACCTCTACAGGTAGTAAATACAAACTTACAGGTAGTAAATACAAACTTCACACTTTCTTCAAAACTATAACTCGTACAACCTCTTAGCACTGGTTACTTTATGGTCTTCTTAATCTCAACATCACTCCTTCCAGATAATAGACCCACTCCCCACTAATGAGTAAAAGTTATGACATACTTATAGTCATTTAATGAAGGACTCAAGGTTGACCAACTCCTAATAGAGGGTCTACCCATTATAAAGGAGTTTGTTTTGGACTCGAGTCAGAGTTAACTCAGATTAGATTCCAAACAGTCAGAACAATCAGACTTTCTCTAGATGTTAACTCATCGTTATAATTGTCTTTGTATCTTTATGACTTGTTATAGCTCATCGTAATTTTATGATTTATCTTCTTATTAACTTGTGTCACCGCTCCTCATGATTGACCTCTCTATACTTATGAAAGTAAACTGTGCTCTATAAATCCAATCCCAACACACACCAATATAGAACAGAGATGTGAAAGTTTAGTAGTATATGCAGTTAGAATATTTGAATAGATGATTTAAAAAGAAACATGTGTGCTTGATGTCGTTGATGATAAATTCTAGCTGACTGTAGACACAAAAGGCTCCACTCCCTTATAGAACATTCAGCATATTTTATTCACTAATCCTTCGCTGAAATCAATATCTACCTTTCTCTTGTAATTCAGGATAACAATGAAGAATACCTGATAGCTCTAGACCTGTATGAACAAGCCCTGAGTCATCTAATGCCAATATTACAAGGTGAGTTGCCAGGTTATTTTTGGATTTTGTTAACCCGTTTCTTCTATATTTTCTAATTCACATAGGCTTGATACATTGACCAACCTGTATCAGTAGGCAAAAGGTTAAGACAGTTCCAGTTTTTATAAACAGTATGAAGAGTTTAATCATATTGTGGTTGATTTTGTTGAACAATGTAATAAAGTTGGAAAACTCAATGGGACATAATGTCCAAGGAAAAAAAATGTTTTATATCTTTAAAACACACTTTTTTATGTCAGAAAACAGTTGATTTTCCTTAAAGGGATCGTTTAACAATGTTAAATCTGAGATACACGGCCCTACGTGTTATCAGTGTCTGTGATATGATGTAATATTAAAGCCCTACAAAAATTGCGCTTCAAAATGATCAAGAAGTGCCTCAAAAAAGTAAAAATCTTTGAGTGACCGGTTTTACCATACTCGTTTTCCCCAATAGACTGTAGTGTTATGAAAACCGTCAGGCGAACGGTTTTCAAAATTTGTAATTCCAATCATAAATATCTTGATAATCAGACAGGCGATCGGCTTGTAAAAGTCACGGGGTTCCTGACTGACCTAAAGGTTTATAATTATCATTGCATCATGAGCTAAATCCAGAATGTGTTTTCAGAATCTGAGACAAAGTTACCGGATCCCTTTAAGTACTGAGAAAAAGAAAAAGATTCTCTAACAGAACATTGAAATTTACCATTCTGGTTGAGGGTAATGCTGAAAATAATTTAATGATATGATCGATTTAGTGCTTTATCGACTTGAAATAATGTAAGGAATAATTGTTTCTTTCTCTAAAATTGTGTAAACAAATTTGCAAATCATCATTACTTACAACAAGATTGTTTGTTTGTTTTACCCGACTGCTAAGAAAGCATGTGTATGCTTGTAGGTAACCTACCAGGGGACAGATGGTTCTAAGTCCTTTCCGAGGGACTTGGTAATGAGGATTAATGCCTTACCAAAGGGTACAGCGCATGGACATGGTTTCACACCTGGACCCTCCTGGTTACAGAATGATACTTTGTTCACTTCCCCAGAAGGTCTTTGCTATACTCTACATTTAAACTCTTGTATTATGATTTTGTTACAGTTGAACAAAAAGGTAAAAGGAAAGACCTGCTCTTGAAGGAGACAGAGAAATGTATGACGAGAGCTGAGGTTCTCAAACAGTACTTAGAGGTATGTCAGATTCCATTCACTGGGATTTTATAGAAGTAGCAGTTAGACATGTATTGTGGGATCAGAAATAGAAATTTGAGGAGCTGTAGTAATGGATCATTATAAAGGAATAGCGTGGTTTCACAATTAACAGCGCCCCCACAGTTAGGCAGCGACAGGCCAATTTTTCAGCTCATGGGTCGACATCTTTCAACTAGTGCAGTGTAGCAAAACGCTAGCCACTGATTGAAATGACCAAAATGATCCAAACTGTGTAAACTCGTTCAATGAGATGGATTGATCTGATATCAGCGCACATATCTTTTTTAAAATTAGGATGCCAAAATCCACCCACTATTGATTCAGACTAATCATTTTGCCCTATTTCGGAAAAAAATCAATACAAATGGTCATTTGGGGCCAACAAGAGACCAAAGTGTTGTGAGTAGGGTTAATATAACCAACATTTTAAAATCGGTGCAAACCTTTTGCTGAGATAAGCTATTCAAATCTTCCAAACCCAAAATTCGGATTAGATTCACTGATACCGGTATGCTAGTATTTATAACAAAGCCACAGCTTTGCTAGATTGTGTGAATCAACTGTATTGTGTCCTTGTTCACTGCATTACCAAAGATGTAAATGTATGTGAACCATTCATTCTATATATTTTTTTCAATCGTGGACTTCTGGTGGAAAAATGTGAGGAGTAAATGCTTTGTATTCCACCTGCACTACATGAATGTTCCTGAACTGTTTCATTGTAATTTGGTTTAACTGCAGTAAAGCCATTTTGCAATGGACTTCTCTTAAATGGATCCCCCCCTATATTGCCTGTATCCAAAAGATGAACAAGATTATGTTTATATTTCATCACTGTTACTTGCAATCTCTATGATTTGAACTGTAATAGAATCCTATTCTAACAGTCTGATAACTTGAATGAACAGTTTATTTGATAGATTCGTAGACGGTTCTTGAATGCAACCAAGTATAGCTGGAATGAAATTCATCATGACTTTATCTTGTTTTTATTTAAGAAATATCTTGATTTTGTTCCTTTGTGTATTGTCTTTCACTTTGTTTGTTCCCTTTTTAGATTCAAAAGATGAAACCAATAAGACAGTCTTCATTAGACAGACATTTACAAGCAACTGACTCCTTCAAAGATTGTAAGTCATTCAAACATTTCATTTTTCATTACAGCTTATAGCTTAAATTATTTAGGATTTTTTTTTTAAAGATGATAATATCCTGTGTTCTGTGTGTGTGATGGTGCTGTAGTTCAGTGTAAGGGCAGCTTGATGATCGGGACTGGGAGATCCAGGTCATATAGTTTGCAATACTGGGATTTACACTCTAAGATGAAGTCCACTGGATAGGATGTAAAACTGTAGGAATCCTTGTTGCTTATGTGAATCTGAAAGGACATACATACTAAAGGTCGAATAGCCAGTAAAATTGGGTTTACCCCTCTAAGATGGAGTCCAATGGATAGGATGTAAAAATGTAGGTATCATAGTTGCGTACATTAATCTGAAAGGACATTCACCTATTGCATGCCCACCAGGTAGATGTAAATTCAATAACACTTCAATTCTTCAGTTAAGTGGAAACTTTCATTCATTTACATTTTCATTTATTCAAAAGTCACATTAAAGGAAATTGTGTCATCACATATTGAGGTTTGCCTTTCTAACACTTTTAGAATTCTGTCGGAGTCACTTGGAATCTAAGAATCACACATGTCATTTGATCTTCAAGATATAACTTATTACCAAAGAGTGCCCTCTGTTGGCCAAAATATCATTTTATCTTGTAACCCATTCTGTATAACTTAGGGAACAAACATATAACTTATAACAGCTGATGTGATGCACATTTTAGAGAGAGGGAGAGAGAGAGAGGGGGATAGAAAATCAATTGACCTTGTGGTAGATTACATATAGCATTTTACAAATTAGTTAACCAATAAAGTATACCCCAACTAATACTACTACTATGTCTACTGCTACTACTACTACTACTACTATTGCTTCTGCTACAACTACTACTACTACTAACTAGAGAAAGAGGGGACTTTAAAGTCTTTGAAACTATATTAGCAACACGTTGAGTGAGTTATTTCATCCTTGACATTTTTATCTTCAATTAACTGCAATACAGAAATGTAAATCAATTTGGCAGAAGATGTTATTTGTTTATTTGAGATTTCATGAAATTAAATTGATGAATATGTTAAGCCGAATAAAAATCAATGATACCATAATGAATTTATCAATATTAATTGAGTGCTTAAACATGTATGTTGTTTCAAATCTATTTGATGTTTTGAACTTTGATAAATTACTGTTCATTTATTAGATCCAATTATGACTCTACTCTGTTAGTACATGCACGTATCATTAAACCTATTTGGAACCATTCCAGCCTGGGGGGCCCTGTTACAGGCACACATCATATACAATTTAGCCATACATGACTTTTGCATTCTTCTCCGTATCCATTTAACACTTGAATGGAGAGAAGCAATGTTGATAAAATGCCTTTGCATCATTAGTCAAGGATTTAAACTTCACCACAACACCATGCAAAGTTAGTGCCCTTATGGTTGTCAACATTATATATTTTGCATCAGTAGTCTGTCATAGATTAGGTAATATTCCTACTGTGAGTTTTAAAATACAAGTGTGTAAATGCATTTTTTTTTTTCAATGTCAATATGAAACAAATAAATATAAAAGGAAACTGCTTGAATTTTAACAACTTCATAGACAGTAGGTTTGATAAATATTTAATCAAAATGTAGTACAGTGAAACCTGCTTTAGCAACCACCTGTATAGAAACACCACCTGTTTATGAAGACCACACTTTCTGTTTCGCAAGTGTGCGCCTGTAAAATGGCGACTGGCTGGAATGCTCCCCAGGGAGTGGAAAATGTGCACACATTGTGTGCGGGTAAGCCTGAATCCGATGACCGGGGTAATAATATATCTGTAAAGCGCTTAGGTACATCGTTGGATCGGTGTATTGAGCGCTATATAAAAAACCGGATTATTATTATTATTATTATTCCCTTGAAATTGTTTCTCATTGAAACATGGAAGTGAACCTGTACTTAAAGACCGCCTATTCATATAGACTACTTTTCTTGTCTACATTTAGCAGTCTTTATATACAGGTTTCAATGTATTATAGAATATAAAAGAGACTCATTGATGCCTGGATCTACAAGCAAGAATGATTTAATATAAAAGAGGGAAAGCATCTAAAACAAAGGCTTGGTTGAGAGTTGAATTGATAGCTAGAGGTATGCTTCAAATGAGAAATGAGAAGAAAACGGAATAGCAAGAGTGCATATTCTTGATAGGTTGAATGACCTTAATCAGTAGATAACTCTTGCTTCTGCTAAATGAAAAGAGAGTGACAGGAAGAAATTGAGAAAAAAGATGATATTGGTTCGTGTGTGTTCATTGCTCATTCATTGCTCCGAGATATTACTTTGTTTTTACTATGGCATTGGGTTGAACGGGGCACGATTCTTTTTTATTATATAGGGGGAGATACAATAGTGCTATAGTGAGATAATAATCATTAATATCAAAGGTTGACTCGCCTATGGCTAGTTGAGAGGTTTATTGAAAGCTCTGTGAGTTGATGTTACCAATTTTAATTAATGCTTGCAGTGATATTGTGTCTTTTTCGAAGAAATCGCGGGGGAGTGATGTACAGTTTTCTCTTGGAAGGGTTTATTTGAAAAGCTGTGCGTTTCTCCGAAGGGTGTTCCAGTTCATACCGAAAGGGCATATTTATAGTCTGTGGAATTCTCTGTATTGCTTTCTGTATACTAGGAGGGCATATTGCTTTTTTGGAGATTGATTTAAAAGACTATATTATTAATTGTGTTAATCAATGCCGTAAGCGCTTATAATGGTAGGTTTATTTTGGAAGGCTGTTCATTCATCATGGAGGTGTTTAAAGTGACTCTATAAAGGCATATCATGTTATCATTTGAAAGAGTTATTGACATCTTTTTCGTTTCTTCATAAAGTCATCCACTCAAAACAAATAGGGCATATACAGTTAACAACTCAATTATTCATACTCCTTGTAAAGTTGATGTTTTTCAATTTGTTTCTTGTAACTTAAGAATGGGAGGTGAACTGGTAACTGGTTTGATTATGGCCTTAATTGAACACTCTTAGATGTAATTTTTCATATATTACAATCTCAAGAAACATAAATTGGGGCGAATCAATTTTTCACATACTTAAAAAGTTACAAAACTTGGTAAAAGCATGAATAATCCAGTTCTTAACTGTATACCAGTATGTGATTTTTTCCCCAAGTGGAGGCTTATTGAAAGGCTACATGTATATATATGCATTTTAGTCGAGGGCACTTCATTAATTACCATAACGATATATATGTGCACCTTGCGTTCATGTGAGAGTATTGTTAGGGAGGACATGCACTTCACAGAAAGGTTTTCTGATTGCCCCTGAAATTGGTATGTACATGTACTATTATTTGATGTACAGGGTAGGTTTGGTTTGTTGGTTTGTTTTACCTGACTGCTAAGAGCATTAGTATGCTTAATATCAGTACATGTAAGCAACTAGGTAACCTATGGCTTTTAGTCCTATCAGAGGGATTTGGTCGTGAGGATTGATGCCTTACAAAAGGGCACTTGCTAATCCACTTGGTTTCAAACTTGAGACTCCCCATTACGAGAAAACTGCTCTTTCACTGAGCTCTATCATTTGAGTATTTTGAAACAGATGGGCATAGAGCAACTAAAGACTTTAAAAAGGTGCATTTTAGCAAAAATTGGATAGATCCAAGATTCTGCAAAAGGTGGGAAATCGCGGAAAAACACATTCTGTCTAGCCCACCTTCACCCCTCTCCCCCAAGGGGCAGTTATCGTGTTTTTCAGTAGCATGTGTACTCCAATCCTCTCCTACAAGCATAAACAGGGGGGGGGGGGGGGGCAGAGCAAAATACAAAGGAATTTTAAAAAAGAGAGAAGGAAAGAAAGACAAAGGAACTGTTTTTTAGAATTTCAGGTTTGATTTGGGGTGTAAAACCTAAAAGGTTGCACAAAAACTTAAAAGGACAAACAATTTATTTTGTTCCAGGTTGCGTTTAAAAAGGGGTCCTAGGCTGTCTGTGCCCTCCCCCCTTTCCCTCTTAAATCAACCGCTGCATTATACAACAAAACTAGTTTGAAGAATACTGTGCCGGGATCAGTAATGCTTTATAACAGCAAAATAAACATACCAATGTGCAGATCATTGTCTTGGACCCTTCCTTCCACGTTGCCTGGAGACTTTGGAAGCTATGTGGAGGAGGAAAGCAATATCTGATTAAGAAATATTTCAAGCCTTAAAATGTCATTGCTTCTGACCTTTCTTCTGTAAATGTGCAATCAAATACCTTTATCGTGCGGATATTAATCTCACTTTATGCCAATGTGTGGAGAGAAGAATGGCTCAGAGGAAGACGTGTCCTTTTGGGAAATCTCTTTGAGAGTTTCAGATAATGAATTTTGTTTTTAAAGAAATGGTTACAGCCAAGTCCTACCTACCCAATATCAACAACTATTACTACTTTCATGATTAAAGGACGGTCGTCTTACATACATACAGAATTAAAGTGGTTCAAATATTCTTGGTAGACCTCGCCTAAGTTGGTTGAAAACAAACTGGAATGATTAAGACTAAGACATCTTTATATTCATGATATGAAATGATTGTACATTGTACATTGTCTTTGTTTTCTTATTGGATTGTGTGAACATGTCTGTAGAAAAAATACCCATATCAAAATAAAATTCATCGCAAGAAAATAGAAACAAAATATAGAGATAGAAACAACAACCCCCCCCCCCCCCAAAAAAAAAAAAAAAAAAAAAAAAAATTATAAATCAGATTTGTAGGTACCTTTGGGGTTCAAAAATGAATGGGGACATCAACCCACTGAGCTTTCAATAAACCTCTTTTCTTTGTTGTATGTAAGATATCCCAAATGAATACATTAATGTACATCCAAAGGGGTACAGACTGGTGTGACCCCCGCCCCCCAACATCCATCAACCAGTTACTTCAGAGAGGGATTTGTGTTGCAAGAGCAGGAAAAGGGAAGATGGATGATTACAGGAGAAAGAAGAAGCTAAGGAATAAATGAACAAGAAGGTTTTGTTGAGGTAATCATGATAATCCTGGAC